CGCGCCCACGGCCTATAGCGGCTACCCCGGCACCCTCCAGTGCGCCCCAAGTCTGTCAACGCCATCCCGAGGGACCCTGGGCACGGACCCCCTGCAGCCGCCTGCCGCCCCGTCCCCCCCCGCTGCCCCCCCTGGCCCTTCCCTAGCACCAACCAACAAACACGGGCGCCCTCCGCCAACTCAAACAACCCTCGCTACCGGTGAAACACTAAATGCCCCACTCCACCCCAGTACCAACCCTAAATAACACCTATCCCCCCGCCACATTCCCAAAGCCCCAAATCCCCACCAGGACCGCCCCCCCCCCCCTACCCTCTGTGCTCTTCATGCCTCCCCAGTACCGACCCCAGCCTCCAACGTCGGCCGCGACATGACCAAATACCCTCCCACCATGCCCAACAGAAAATTACCTTAAGCCGCACCCCTTTCCCTAACCTGAACATGTAAGCGCCCCCCCCCATGGGGCGGGCCTTCCTGGGCACCCGAATTTTAGCATCCCTCTCATTGCTCCCACTTGGTCTCCATATCCCTGGTGACTTATCCTACAACACACCACCCCCTCCAATCTCCATCACTAACCCACGTGAGGGCGTAGGCCTGTCCGTAGCCCACGAGGCCGACAAACCCTGCCCAAAGCCGAACGGTCCCTGGCCCCCTCACCCCTTTCCAGTTATCGCCCCCCCTGAGCGCTGTACCTGACCCGGCATCCCACACACTACCGCAAACAAAGTTCCAGCAACTACTGACCTTGGCTTGCCCTGAGCAAGAAAACGACATGGTTTGCACAGCCAGATCACCAACACCAGGATGGCCTCTTACTGGCAAGCTCATAATGTCTGACTTTGCACATGTGTTCTAAACACTTACCACCACAGGATTTGAGGCAATCGTGTCTAGATGGCCAGGCTTTGGTTGGAAAATTACAACAAGAGTATTAATGACCGGTCAAGGTCATACTGACCCTCCAAAGACCAACACTCACGCCATCAGAACCATCATCACTGTGACCTTATTCAGCATAGGACAGCTGGAGAAACTGACCCAAATTAGCCCAAGTAGAAGGGACAGCAAATACACACTTCCTCTCCACTCCCCTCAACTCAGTCCTCATGGGCTGATCTCCCCTGGCTGATGTGATTTATGGGGAAAGAGGGTAACTTTTCAAGATGAATTGTTGTGGTTGGACAGGCTTCGGTTTGCACCTCCACTTTAACATTTATGAGTTGTTGGCCTTGGCCAAATAATTTGGATCTCAGTTTCCTCATCTGTAAGTGGGAGTAATTAAGTCTGGCTTCATATGTCATGAAGAGGGACAATGGAAAGTGCCCAACGCATACTAACACCTCAGGGTCAGGACCCATACCTTATTTGTCTTTAAGCACCTCGTACAAAGTAGATCATTGACAAATATTTGCTGAATGGATAGCCACGAGAGTAACCCCTTCCCTTAACTCTTTATATCATTCGGTTGTGAGGTAGAAAAATCAGTAAAGAATTCTCCCTGCTGTGCCTTTACAGAATTAAACCTGCTTCCTCTTAGGAGTTGCACATCAGAAGAACAGAGCTTCAAAATCTTGTCAGATAAAGGAGGGCTTTATGGAGCAGAACTACCTCGAAAGTGTTCTGCATAACAATACGCCCACGGCTTTTAACTGAGCACCTTCCCCCAATTCCTTGTGGACTCATTAAACTGACAGCTTGGCACCAGCATATTGATGCCTGTTTTCTATCTAACACAAGCTGTATGAGTGCCTCGTGTTTAACCCACTCTATGAATTTGTAAGCAACTATGTAAAAAAAAAAAAATCAGAAAACAAAGGAGAGATGCTGGGTTATTATTTCACTAAAAAACAATGAGTGTCTCTTTCCTTTGCTCCTCCCACCCTAATTGGGTATATTTGGGTTTTGGTTGTTTCTCTTTGCTCAAAGACTGAATTGCAGCAGCTTCTTTTTACCCTTTGAAGAAGGCTGTGCTCTAGGCCAGTGCCACTCAATGACAGTACCAGTCAAATAAGGAGCTTGAACCAAAAGGGTACATCAGTGCACTCTTCCTTCTTCAAAAAGTCTTGCTATGGGGACACCTGGGTGGCTCAGTGGTTGATCGTCTGCCTTTGACCCAGGGCGTGATCCCAGGGTCCTGGGATAGAGTCATGCATTGGGCTCCCTGCATGGAGCCTACTTCTCCCTCTGCCTGTGTCTCTGTCTCTCTCGCTGTGTCTCTCAGGAATAAATAAATAAAATATTAAAAGAAAAAAAAAGTCTTGCTATAAAAAAAAAAAAAGCTCAACTAAACAGTGTGTTTAGTGCCAAAGTTGATGTACATTCTGGCACAATCTCCTTATGGACAGGTAACAAAAAGCTCACAGACTGCCACCACATGTGGATCACACTTCGAGAAGCATTGTTCTTGGTTACAGAACTCCTCATCTGCCTGATAATGTACTGTGCCGACCCTTACAATGGACCTCAGAGGCTACCTATCATCCTTATCCCTTCTTTTGGTAAGGCATCCCAATATCAAGGATCTGCTGTTCCCTCTCTCAGTCTACAGGATCTGGGCAGGGATCCTGTATGACCAGGGCTGGCCAAACAGTGCTCTGAATCTCTGCAGCCACAGTGAATGGTTCTGGAAGACTGTAATCCAGGGCCGACCAATCAGCATAATTCCATCTTCCTGGTTAGCTTTCCAACCTAGGAAGGGCAGATGTCCAGCTGATGTATATTTAGGGTGAATCCTGGGACTCCTGCAGGCGCTACAAGGAAAGGTCTCTTTCCATTAGACTTCATGTTATAAGGATGTGAGCCCAGAGTCAACAACACCCATGAGAGCCTGGCCATGAAATGGAGCAAAGACAGAGCAGAACTAAAAGACAGAGAGACAGAAACTGGCTTCTTAAGCATGTCATTGGAACCTTTGGATCAAGCCTTGCTTGATCTACAACTTTTCAATTACATGAACCAGTTAGTTTCCCTTTTGCTTAGAACAGTTTATGTGCTTTCTATAACTTGTCACTAAAAGAGTCTAAAGTTATGTCTGATTACCCTGGACTCTTCTAAAATCCATATGCATTAGCCCAAGAGACAAATCTGAAAAGACAAAAGGTCTGGAGTCAGAGGAGCTGCCACTAGCTGGCACCAGAGGCAGGTTACCAAGACTTTCCACACCTGAGTCCCTTCCTCTGTCAGGTGATTAACATTTGCCTCAACCGTTGCCTGTCAGGTGACTGAGAATCACATAAAAAGATACAGAGGAAATCACTATGGAAACATTCAAAAAAGCACCATGCAAACAAAAAATATTGTTATTATTAGCACAATAGTTATTCAAACTTCACAATTCTGGCATCTTAATTATCCAGTTCCTATAAGAAATTTTAAAAGCCTTTGAACAAGAATACATTGTTTTTCAAATGAACATAGGGGGTAACAAAAAGAGAGGCAAACCAAGAAACATATGGCTGGTTACCAGAGGGGAAGAAGGTGGGGAAGGTAGATTTTATAGGTGATGGGGATTAAGTTGTGCACTTGTGATAAGCACCGGGTGTTTTATCAAGTGTTTACTCACTAAATTCTACACCTGAAACTGACATTACACTGTATGTTAACTAACTGGAATTTAAATTAAAACTTAAAAAAAGGGGCAGCCTGGGTGGCTCAGCGGTTTAGTGCTGTCTCCAGCCCAGGGCCTGATCCTGGAGACCTGGGATCGAGTTCCACATCGGGCTCCCTGCATGGAGCCTGCTTATCCCTCTGCCTGTGCCTCTCTCTCTCTCTCTCTCTCTCTCTGTCTATCATAAAAAATTTTTAAAAAACCACTTTAAAAATGCATTGTTTTTATGAACACCTGTGTAATTCTGCTACACGAGGGGGAGCGCCCTCTACGGCCAGAGGGCATAAAGCGAGGCAGCAGACCCAGAAGCCAACAGAATCCAGAAGGGGCAGCTGGAAGCTGGGGCAGGTCTCAGGTTCTGGGCTGCGCACCAATATGTGCTGTGGGTCATTTGCTGGGCCCACCCAGGACGTTTCTCTCCCATTGAACACATCATCCCAATGACTCAAGTGTATGAATCAATGAAAGAAAAATGATGATTTAATTTAGAAATTACCCCTGTAACTCTCAACTGCTATTTTGCAACTTCAGGGTTGTCCTAACAATAATAATGCTGTGCAGGTAGGCAGATTTTGTGTTTGTTTTAGTGTTTTTGTATCCGAGACCTAAGGGACCAACATAACAACAAACTTTGCATAAAAAGACTAAATTGCTTCACAAATTTCACATTTCTCCAAAAGTCAGAATACAATCATTTTCTCAGAAATAAAAACAGTATGAGCAGTTGGGGTACAAGACAGGAAGAGGCATGACTGATTTTTAAACCTCGTTCTGAGTCTCTGGTCAACGGTAGTATCAATGGATTCTCTTTTGATGGGAAAATAAATTTTTATATTTTCATATAATGTAACTGGAATAAGTTATCCTTTACAGTTCCCTCCTTTGAGGAGCTCAAACCTGGGTGGCTGCGGTGGGAGAACAGGGGGACACTTGTTTTACTAGTGTCGCCATGTACTGGGTACCGATGCTTTGCAGGGTATGTGCTGAGCCCAGCACCCCCCAGTCCATGTCACCAATGGGCAGGGTTACATTACAGTACCTCGGAAGCATGGAGAAGGCTGAGCCTGCTCACCCTGCTCCCGAGGACAGCCTGCATTCAGGCAGAGTGGGCTGACCCTGTCTGTGTCAGGCTCCATAAGTATCCCTTCTTTCTTTCTTTCCCTGCACCTCCATTTATGCCTCTTCATCTTGTAAAACAAGTTGGCCCAACCCAGTTATCTGGTTATCCTCAACCCAGGGAGAAGCGCATAAGGCCCCATGTTGCTCTCCAATCCGGCTGTATCATTATGAAAGTTGATTCTGTCCCCTGTTGATCCAAAGTGCAGTAAGTTAAAAAGCAGAGGGGAAGAGGAAAGAGAAACTGTCTCTCTAAAAAGTCTCTAACACTTACCAGTTTGGATAATGCTCTGGAACCAGCATAGATTATACCCACAAACAGCACCGAAGCAGGAAGCCACGTTGAAACATCAGATCTGGGAAGAGGGAAAGAGGCCATAATGTTTCTGTCATCTTCTGTCCGAATGACCTAGTTGGAAGGCATGACCCTTTGGATGCACCAAATACGACGATGGTGCTTGTCTTAAAATCTCTGAGCGACCCGTGGAGTGTGACATGGTCTGTGCCCACTGACAGTGAGGAAGGCTGACAAAGCTATCCAGCTACAGCCTGTCTGTTCCCTGTCCCACGACAGGGCACAGACAAGCTGGAGATGGAAGAGGGCTTCCTGCAGTTCAGGAGAGAGAACAGATTTGATTTTTTTTTTTTTAAGGGGCAGTGAACATTATTCTTTGGATTTTAAGTAGCCAGAGGGCTTTGAACTCACGCCCAATTATTAAAAATTTAAAAAGACTATTTACCGAGGCAATATATCAAACAGCTCCATGGAACTACAACAAAAGGAAGCAAATGTCAAAGGACAGAATTTTTAAAAGAATGCTAGAACTCGAACTGGGTGGCCTTGTGCTGACGTTTTCCACCGTTAACCTGAAATCTCTAAGGACTTCAGAAGGGTGCATTTCTTTGATTCCGCTGTGGCCCCACCCAAAACTGCTTTTCTCAGAACAGTTTAGATTCTTGCTCTCTTGAAGAAAAGCAAAATTCCAGTTTTTACATAGAGCCCTGATCACGGAGGTTGCAACTTGCCACTCCCATCCGTCACCGACGCATTTGGTCCCTAGAGTTATTCTAATAATAGATAGAAATAAATGAGACCATTCCAGCAGAATTTAACATAATAATCCCAGCTAACTCAATGAACCACTCTCCTGGGATGGTGCCTGTTCAAGAAATGTTCTTTATTAACTTTATTAGCATGGGCAGGCACTCCATCTGTGATCAGACCTGCTTTTGTACGCTTCCCAGCAAACCTGGTGTTAAAATGTCTCTAGTCTCTACTGAGGCCTCCAAACCCTACTTCCTGAATATATTCATTCAGCAAATATTTATAGCAATTTGCAAGGTGCTGACAGCACCAGAATTATTATTAACAGCAGCATCACAGTTAACATTTACTGAGCACTTGCCACAAACAAGGCACTATGCTAAATGTTTTCTATGCTGTGTCTTTAAAAAATCTGCACAGTGTGGGGTGCCTGGATGGCTCAGTTGGTAAAGTGTCCAACTCTTGACATCAGTTCAGGTCTTGATCTCAGGGTCATGATTCCAAGCCCCACGTTGGGCTCCACACTGGGTATGGAGCTAGTTTAAAACACAGCACAACAACCTTATGAAGAAAATATTATCATTATTTCCATTGTGCAAATGAGAAAACTGAGGCCTAAAGAGCTTAAATAATGTGCATGTGGTCAAAAAAGCTGGTAATGGCAAAGCCAGAATTTGACTTCAGGTCATCTGACTCTAAAGCCCTAGCTTTAAGCCACCCTTTCATACTTTGCCCCCAAAGACCTCATAATCTAATGGGAGACACTGACCTATATAAAATAAGCTAAAAACACAGCATGATTTTACTCTGGTAGCAGATCAAACAGCTAATTACCCAAGGAATATTCTCTGTTCTTACTAGTGCCACTGCAATACGACATGTCTGTACTTGCACCCAAAAGGCAAACAGAAAAAGGAAGATGCCATTCTCTTTCCTAATGGGTCAAGGAGAACATTGAACCAATTGCTCTTCTTCTAGGAAATGGCTTTTCTAGAAGGAAAAGCTCACAAGGGTCAAGGGAGACTGGATCCAGGCCCCTGGTCCCCTGAGCACCAGAAGGCAGCCCAGAGCACTTGCCACGAGGAGCACAGGTAAGGAGGGAAGTCAGGCACTTTGTGACATAGTGTGCCTAGCTGCTGCAGGCACAGTACTCTGGGATGTGAGCTCAGTAAGGCTCCAGGCATCTGTGCTCTGCTCCTTCTTAAACAAAGAAAACACCTGCCCAACCATATGCTCCAAGAGACATCAGGGCATTTGAGTGACCATGGATGTGAAAGAGAAAACATGGCTAAGGAAACGCCTTGTATTTTAACCCTCTACCCTAAATACAAAGAAATGATTTTAACTATAAAAAACAAACACAGATCTAGTAGAACCAAAGAGACTTCTGGGATATGTTACAGAGCAGCTGTGTGAGCATTTGGATTCAACCATGGCACTATGACCAGGAGCAGGGGCACTGATGCATACGTTGTCCACAATCACCTCATTCAGCACTCACCTAGGTGGGCAGAACCAAAGCAACGTGCGCTAATGGGGAAATTTCGACACCTGCAGAAGCAGTTGGTTGCCTGACCCTGTCTTGCCCCTCATGAGCTCTTATCAGAGACAGCTGCCTCCCTCCTCCACACACCAACAAAAAAGTATAGCTGCTATTGAGAGGAATAAATATGAATCATTGGGGGCAGTGCTGCCAAAACATATGGGCAAAACCAATGTGAAAGGATGGGGCGGGGGCAGAAAAATAATTAAAAATTGAGAAGAACTGTGCATTCACATTGCTCCAAAGTATCAAAGTTCTCATTCCACTGAAAATCACAGGGTACATGTTAAGTGTAGTTTATGCAAGAAAACACTCGAGGGAACCCAGTAGACAATCCATACACCATGAAAAAGCTCTTCCATGAGATTAGCAAACTAGTGCACATTTATACATCTTAAATCAAAATAGAGTGTTTTCATCCAAAAATGATTTCTTGATTTATTTTCAATTAACCCATTAATTATCAGAGCCAGATACTATATAATAGACATATTATTAATGTGTCTCAAATCAGCTGTAAGTTTCACAAAGGTGGGAGTCCTGTGTGTTTTGCTCATATAAATAAAAGTCAAATGTTACATGGATGAATGTTTTAAGGAAAGTAAAGGACTAAGCTGTACCATAAGGGTATCTGATCTAGTAAGTGAGGATAGGGAAACCTTCCTCTAATAAGTGATATTTGAGATAAAACCCAGTTAGGGGAGCCTGGGTGGCTCATTTGATTAAGCATCTGCCTTCAGCTCAGGTCATGATCTCAGGGTCCTGGGATCAAGCCCAACAACAGGCTCCCTGCTTAGCTTCTCCCTCTCCTTCTGTGTGCTCTTTCTTGCTCAAATCAATCAATCTATCTATGTATCTATCTATACAAAAAAAAAAAAAAAAAAAAAACCACCCTCAAAGTTAAAGTGGGTAAAGGGTTGGGGTGGGGAAGTAGAAGAGATACAACATTCCCACCTTGGTCCATTACTCACAGCAGTAAAAGTCTCTTGAGGTTCAGTAAGACTTTGTCACAAGTCTGTTCTTCACTAGCTATTCATTCCTAAATTCTTTGCAACATCAATCTCGTTTAATTTACACACCAGCAGGAGAAATAGGAAACAGACTCGCAGTCACAGGTGTGCATGCTGTCTCCCTCCCAGAGAGGACCTGCTGCAGACAGTATAGTCCACGGGCAGGTGAACATAATTTGAAGAATAGTTTATACTTGCTGCTTCAGATTCAGAAATGGGATCTCTGGCCCACAAGGTTTCCACGACTATCAGTTAATATGCTATAGTAACATGGACAGGTCAGGCCTAGCAACAGTTACCTGGGGTAAATAAAATGCATGACAACTGAGTTTCCCATACTTTTCCAGGATGTGTGGAGACAAGGTGAGGACAGAACTACAAGGCAGTGCTTTCTTGTCCTTTTGTCATCTCATGAAATATTTTGTTTTTAAAAGATTTAATTGGGGGATCCCTGGGTGGCTCAGGGGTTTAGCGCCTGCCTTTGGCCTGGGGCATGATCCTGGAGTCCCAGAATCGAGTCCCGCATCGGGCTCCCTGCCTAGAGCCTGCTTCTTCCTCTGCCTGTGTCTCTGCCTCTTTCTCTCAGTCTGTGTCTCTCATGAATAAATAAATAAAATCTTTATTTTTATTTTTTTAAAAGATTTTATTTATTTACTCATGAGAAACAGAGAGAGGCAGAGACACAGGCAGAGGGAGAAGCAGGCTCCATGCAGTGAGCCGGACGTGGGACTCGATCCAGGGTCCCCAGGATCATGCCCCAGGCCGAAGGCAGGCGCTAAACTGCTGAGCCACCCGGGCTGCCCCAATAAAATCTTTAACAAAAAAAATAAAATAAAATAAGAGATTTATTTATTTGAGAGTGAGAGAGATAGAGCACACAAATGGGGGGAGGGGTAGAGGGAGAGGGAGAGAGAGAATCCCAAGCAGACTCGCAGTGGAGCCCAATGTGGGACTTGATTCCAGGACCCTGATATCATGATGTGAGCTAAAGCAGAGTCAGTTACTCAACTGATTGAGCCACCCAAGCACCCCCTTGAAATAGTTTTAGAAAAATATTGGGCCCCTGAGGGCTCAGCCTGGGCAACTGACTTCAGCTCAGGTCATGATCTCAGGGTTCTGGGATTGAGCCCCGCATTGGGCTCCCTACTCAGCAGGGAGTCTGTTTCTTTCTCTCTCTCTGCCTCCTCCCCCATGCTCATGCTCTGTCTCTCTCTCAAATAAAATCTTTTTTAAAAGACAAAAAATATTTCTTCAGGACAGAATGAAATTGTGATTTTAAAACCCTAGTTAACTCTGCTAAAATGGACGATTATTTTCCAGGGAGATTAAGTGATGGAAATTATACCTGGTTCTGGGCACTGAAGAGCATAACCTTATAACATGCACATGGTTATCCAGATCTTTGGGAATTATAAAGAGCTCTCTTTGCTGCCAAGGAATGTTCCAGCAGTCAGCTGAAAAACTTTAGTCAAGAGCTCTAAGGGATGGACAAATTTCACACATTTTCCTGGGCTGTGCCCTTTCTTCTAGGTCAGGTCATCTAGGGCTGGAGGTATGTAGGTGACCCCTAAGGGTCACCTAGGTCACTATGCGTGAGGGCAGAGGAAGGACACAAAAGAATAGAGCTGTGCGTGGCACAATACTCAATAAATTTCTGGTTTTTCTACATATAACTCCAAAGACAGAAGCCATTAGGGAAGATTGATAAATCCACCTACACAAAATGCACTGGCCAAAAAATACCATACGGAAAATCAA